TTTGTGCTCACAAAATCATAATTAGACCATCCTATTTCATTGACCTGCTGCACATCCACTAATCCAACTATGTATGTACGTTGATACTGCTGTAGCTGATAAACTGCTAGCTGTATGAACAGACTAGGCTGATTTCCTAACCTTTTGTCCCTGAGTTAGGAAACCAGCAGGCCATCCTGCCCAGTCAATAGCATACAGCTTCATTGGTCATGCTGGGATATCCTGTTCTCCCACCACACCTCAGTTAAATCGCCACTCCTGAATGTAGCTACATATGTACCAACAGGATTTCCACTTATTGTGAAATTTATCCACGTGCTCTAGATCAAGTTTTGTGTTCTGACAAATGGCCAAAAAGATGAACTGACATGCAAAATTTGTTCTTTATCACGTGTATGATTCCTGTAGCTTCCCTGTTCCTGTAAGAGAAGGTTAGTTCAAATTTCCCAAGTCTATAGCTCGTGCTTGCTAGTCAAGCTGCATTGCACTTCAGCCACAGTACATGTCTGCCTATAATTACGCCTTCACATTCATCACATAGCTTGCAGCTAGAATTACAAACTAGCGGTCCACTTGTCACAAATACATAAGATGCCCGCACACATGCACACAGACAGAAACCTACGTGATAACGATACTCAAAAGAATGAGTAGGACGGTAGAACACTAGGTGGCGATAAATTGATAAACTGAAGATTCTTAGGAATGAATCTGGTAGAATACCACCTACATTAAAAGTTCTATTTGCTTTTGGGAGTTTCCTTATAGTAAATAATTAGACGAATTAGGATTGGTGTCAGCCAATCCAACAGCAATTTTCAGTACGCCCTTCAACACACCCCACACTTTTCACAATTTAATCTGCGTATTGGTGCTGCAGACTTATGTAGCTACATAATATAGCATAGTATTAGCTTTGCTGACGCACAACTACCTATAATTGGATTGCAGTTATTTCAACTGCATCCTTCAAAGGAACTGGTTGTTAACAAAGATTGCATATGTGACATTTGATACAGGCCATCTGGTGTCAAGGGAATACTCTAATTGGAGATCTTTCTTTGTGCTGTTGGTTTTGTCAATGGTATAGCTTTCATTGCAAGACCAACTGAGGTGATAGAGACTGATGAAGTGGTCAGAGTGGTGCCACATTTGGAACTGCTGTATTCAGGAGAGGATAGTAGCCACTGTGGAGATAGCTGACAGCTTTAGAGATGGGACAATGGAGAGTGCCAACAGTGTTTTACAACACCTCTTCACAGCAACAGATATATGCACTGCTAGGGCCATGAAAGCTCTCTAATGTTAATGTATATAATATTGCCCAGGTAAGGAAGTGCTCACTTTTTAGGTCTGGCCGGCTACCAAGAAGTCACTGGTATACCACACATACTCTCCCAAAAGAAGCTATCAGAAGAGGAGCCAGACCGACAGTGTATAACCATCTGAGATTACCCCACATGAGCATTGTTGAGACTGTGTAGCCATAATTATTACCTTTAGCTCCAAACAGCTCTTTTTGGGTGTTGAGTAAAAACAAGAGTGGCAAACATGTTCAACAAGAAACAATGGTTAGTACAGAATGCTCACATTGATCTAACAAGCAGCTTCCCCTGTTTACATTACCACGATAAAAACAACTATATAAAAAAAAGTGTAAAGGTCTGGATTATTGGCAAATATATTGACGTAGCAAAGCATAATTATTGTAGCTATAATATAATGCCAACTGCTAAAGAGTTGGGATCAACAAGCAAAGACTTTGTGAAGACGTGCATATAATATTATCACATACTTGTTCATATCCCCGTGTACAGCGAAATGCCCGGGATTTAGGAAACAATGCGTGTTCTCCCCCTCCCCATGCACTGCTCTCATAATCCATCTCTCACTACAAGCCGAGGAAGTTGTCAATGTTGCTCCTAGTTGTAGAGGAACATCATATATCTGTGTACTCCTTCATATGCGCTGCTTTACAGGGTCTGCATACAACCCTACACAATACAGTGCACAAGTCGGTCCTTTTACTGAAATTTGTTTCGCCAGTAGCTCGACATGCAACAGGCCATGGCGTACAATACGCCATGGTCGTATAAGGTAGCTCTTGTACATGCACTGTTTGTCAACAGTGCAACGTGCCACTAAAAAGCAGACCCACAACAAGCCTCCATTCAGCAGGAAGACACATGCCTGTGTAATACCTATATAGCTACTGTATAAGAGCTCCAGATTGTGGGTGAGGTAATTGAGAGCCGCGTGAGAGGATTGGGTCTTGTATTTTGGTAAGCGAAGCCTTTTCTTCATTCAGTGGCAAACTGAAATATGGCCTCTGTTGGCACAATTTATACTCTTTGACTGTCCCATCGTCAATGTATACACAGGCGGACACGCACGGAAGGAAATTGTTATGCCAATCAGTCGCGCGCGCAGGTATAAGAGAGGGCGTCAGAAGCACTGCGGCCACTAAGATTGCTGCGGAAGATTTGCACTGCTACCAACCGTATTTTACAACACAGTGTGCCAGAGGACGTCGTCCACTACATACTATCGCTGCAAGCAATTTACTATGGGGAAAAATAAAGTGAGTTTGTTCACGCGCTGCAACTGGCGGTCGGTCGACACAAATCTGCATGCAATTCTGCGCTGCGGTTGTTACGCGAAATGCGTAGGGGTGCCATTATGCGCGTCTGTGCGCAGCAAGTCCCGAGAAACTTCATGTTGCCGTTGGCGAAAAACAGATAACGAGTATCCAGCTAGGTATAGCCAAGTGCAAAGGTGCGCCGTTATACTGCAGTAGGACGCGGAACTTGTCAAGGGAAATCCGCTTCCTTCGAAGTTGGTTGTCCACTCTTGCTTATACTCAATCCTCTGCTATTGTCTTTTAGAGTGTTTTGCAGAAACCCCACAGGAAGTGATCTAAAGTATATCTTTTCTGTCCGCAGATGTTGCTGGGAGTTGCTCTGTTCCTGCTGTTTGCACTGGGCCATGCCGTAATGGCTCCAGGAGACGAGAGTTCGAGGTGTACAAATCAACTTGATCCCTACCCTCCCAGCATGATGATGTTGATGAACTCTCGACACTACTCTGCACTCCTGGGACCTGAAGGAGTCTGGGACCAGATGGATTTGGATGACAATGATCCCGAAACCTCTTTCAACCCAACATACGTGAGCCACTTAGCTACAATCTACAATCCACGATTTCTATTCAAAAGCAGAGAAACCTTCACATAAGCAATAGCACAAGGTGTAATGTGTTGGTGAAGTTTAATGCACTGTTTCCCCCTGCAGTTCAAGCACAATGCTGGTGGAATTTGCAGGTGGTCGGTGATGTCATGTGGCTACCGCAGTGGCTGGCAGGACAACTATCTGTTCACTCAGTTCATCTCGAAGGCAGCACCTCCCGACACCACCCACACTGTACGAGTCATCGTGGACATTCTCTACACCCTCTCCAGTTGCCGCGCTCGCTACAACTGCAATCCCAAATTCCAACTGCTCAAGTTTGAGACAGACGGCCCACAACCAAGAGAAGTGTTCACAGACCACACCAACTACCAGTCAATCAGGGTTAGAACCGGCTCTTCAGCAGTCACTCAGCGCCTCGTGGAAAACATTGATATCCCTGCAAACATCGAAGGGATCTACTTGGCCGTTCGAGACAACACATCATGTATTCAGGTAGCTCAGATGCAGGTCTACCGCTACCAGTGCCCGAGGAAACAAGAGGGTCTTGTCGTCTTCCCTGACACTGCAGCTCCGGTTGATAACGACATAACAATCATAGCAGAGTGCATGCCGAATTCGTCGCCGGTCACCCCCAATGATATGGCCATGACTTGCGACAAGGACGGGAACTGGATGGGAGCTGGTAGCTGCAGGTGTGACCCCGGGTACAAGAGAGTGAGGGGACGGAATGGCGAAAGCTGCGTCGGTGAGTGCAAATTATGCCAGCTTAGCTACACAACTCAATGGTTAGCTACTTGTAAACTCCAGGGGAATGGGTACGCCAGCTACTAGCTTGCGCTCGCCAGGCATGTATTACTCAAAATCCTTTTCTAGCAGAACTTTGACCATGTCGTGATACTACATACACAACAATGTAATACATTCTACACTCTTGGTTTAGCTATTAATACCCTGACTAAAAAGACAAATTAAGGTGGCAAATTGACATAACTGTGTAGATGTTTAGTGCCTATATATACCACTGAAAGAGCTTTAGCTAATACCCACTCGTAAACAGCTCATAATTATTCCTCAAACCTAGGCCTACGTATTCTTTCAATAATGTCTCACCTTGCACACATTAACACAGGGAAGGGACACATTAATCTGTGACTTGGGTGTGTTTCTCTTAAGTTTAGAGTACGTTTACATAATATGACTGTCCAACTAGTCTTTTTCTCCAATTTGCCACACAGCCTGTCAGGAGGGAACCTACAGAACTGGCTCTGACCCAGAGGGTGTCTGTCTCAGTTGCCCGGGAAACACAGAGAGCGACGAGGTGGGTGCACCAGAGTGTGAGTGCCAGACTGGCTACTTCAGGAACTTGGAGGGAATGAGTGACACCTGCCCTGCCAGCCAGACACGTGAAACTGTGTCTGACGACTGTACACGTAAGTTCCTCAATACAAAATGTTGGAACCTTAATCGACTAGGATCTAGCATCCCTCAATCAACTAGAAGCCAGCATACTAAGAACAAGCGTCACTTAATCAATAAAACAGCTTTACACTTATAAGTCTCTAAATTGAAGGCCTGTAAGGGTCAAGTCAGTTACTGTCTCATCAGGTCACGTAACACAAAATCCTTATTTGTACAAGCTCTAACTCCCTGTGTTACTCTCCACAGAGCCACCAAGTTCTCCTCGTAACCTCGTGAAGACTGGCTCCACTGCCGAGTCTCTCAGTGTCAGTTGGACCGCCCCAGAGTACAGCGGAGGTCGCAGCGACCTCTATTACAGAGTCCACTACTCTGACCCCGACAATGTGGGGATTCTGCTGGAGAGTCACTGTACGCAGTGCCACACTGGCACCAGCTGTACCATCAGTGGCCTCCGACCTGCCACCGTCTACGTCGTTCAAGTCTCGGCCCACAACGGAGTCAGTGATCAGGACGAGGGCGGAGCTCTTGCCAGAATGACCGAAATCACTCTTGCGACTGACTCTGCTCGTAAGTTGACATTCTGTAGGACGGCAGTAGCTACTAAGTAAATACTGAATATGATAAGGGATGACAGGTTTTCCAATACTGCATGTAGTGTAAGATTGCTTTGTCCCTGCACTTTACTCACCACTCATCTTTGTATCATGCTTTTTGACTCTACGTGTATCTCTCTACTATATCACAGCTCCGAGTGCTCCTCAGAGGCCCCAGGCATTCTGCCAGGTCGTGGTGTGGGAGGAGCCTGAACACATCAACGGAGTCATTACCAAATATCTTGTCAAATACTTGGCGGTTTCACATGAAGTATCGGGAGATAGGAATTCCTTCGTACTTCCCACAGAGCTACCTTCGGGGACTGTCATCAGGGTATGTGTTTTTCTATAGCTCTTTAACTGCAACTACACCATCCCTTTTGTTCCCTGTTTGCTATACCCTGACTATAGAGGACGAGTCGAATTTAAGTTTTTATATGTTTCTGCAGATTTATGCTGTCAACGTTGCCGGAACGGGTCCCTTTGCTACGGCAACTATTCCTAGTGATTGTGCTGGCCTGGATACACCTGACGCTTTAGTTACCTGTAAGTTTGCTTCAGTATTTTGACTGAAAAGGACCTGCACTAGCGTGTTGTTTTGTGTGATAGTTATATACACTTTGTTTTAGAGACTCATATAGACTCGTTGTAGAGGCTTGTAAGCTATAGTGCTATAGTGGCTCATTAATAAAACTATGTGTTTTATTTGTCCTTGAAATTCCAGGTCCCTCCTGTCCTGGGTGTCCAGCTTGTCCAATCCCAACTCCCTCTGAGTGCCCCACAATCCCAGTCCCAACTGTCACCAGAACCACCACAGTCGCCATTCCACCTGTCACTATCACCAGGACTACCACTGTGGCCCGAATCGTCCCTACCACCGTGACCACCACTGCCACAGTCACCAGAGTCAGTACCTCAACGGTCAGGACCACTGTGACCCGTACCACCACCAGAACTACCTCCACTCCTTGTCCTACTCCTCCTCCGTCTTCACCCACCACTGGTGCCGCTGTGTCTCGTCCTGGTTAGTTTAATGCTAGCAAGCCATGTACACAGAAGACTATATAGGAGAGTGGGAGAGGGAATAAAGTGGGAATTGAGAGACAGGGAGAAGAGGGAGGAAGGAAAGGAAGGAAGGTTTAGATTAACAAAGGAAATGACTGACTACCTGGTTGTTCTACAGTCACTGACAGGAAAAGGACACACACACACACTGACAGACAGAGGAGGCAAACACAATAGCCACGCACTGACAGACAGGAAAGGAAGGAAGGTTTAGATTAACAAAGGAAGAGACTGACAGAGGAGGCAAACACAATAGCCACGCATAGGGGTGTCTAAGATACACACTAATCAGTGGAGTGAGTAGAGGATTTACCCCTCTATTATATATACCGTGCCCCAGATCCAGTAACTGTAATCACTGTGATGGGACGTTGCAGTATTGCCTGGAGGCCTCCGGTGAACAACGGCGGCGAGCGTCCAGGCTATGCCATCAGGTTCTTTGACGGAGCCACTTACGATGAGAGTGGCTTCAGGACGATTTTGAGATTCTTTGACGATCCCGACAAGATGTTCTACACCCTGGAGAACTGCCCGAGCGATAGAGTCATCTATGCTGACGTATGTAGCCATAATATGTCCATTTTCTATGTGTGACTAGCTAGAACCGTTTTCTTGAAACTGTGTTCAACAGTTTGTTATTATAGTTGTGTCCCTCTCTTTATTCTCAGATCCGGGCAAGGAACAGTGGAGGAAATGCCGATTATTCTAGCGTTATCCAAGTTTCAGGTAGCTATAATACACAACCAGCCTTTTTTCACACAACACAGAGGCACTCGTGGAACACAAAACTCTTTAAAATATGCATCTCTCGACAAAAAAAATTTATTTGATTTGAGTGTATCTTTCATGCTGTGTTTCTTGTTTCCCTCTTGCCTCTATAGATCCCAGTACCCCGTCGACTCCCTCCTGTCCAACCTGCAACAGCTGCTGTGGGACGTGCCCGACTCGAGAGCCGTGCCCCACCTGCGCTCCACCCACCATCTGTCCAACATGTCTCCCGCGTGTGACCTGCCCAACTTGTCCTACCACCCCTCCCCCTACCTCTTGTCCCACTGTCACCTGTCCAACCTGCCCTGTACCCACAGAGTGTCCACCAAGAGACTGTTCCACTGATACTGCCCCTGGTAAGATACCAATACAAGTGTAGCATCCGTATATACCTAATATTATGTAGACTCTGAACTAACTCGTTACGTAATCTCATTAGAGTATACATGTGGAGATTTGTCATTATTTGTGAGACTCAGAGTTGGGAAATAGACAAGTCTAAAAAGAGATAGCGTAATTATTGGCTAACGCAAGCACAGGCACAGCAACTTAGTCTCAGCTGCTAACCTTTGCTTATACAGCAATGCCGTAAGACTTTGCCAGTCAGAACTGTGTATCTTATTAACTCGCAACCGCAACAGCTGCACAGTAGTGGCAATTAATAAATAAAAGATGACAGGGATCAGACTGTACCAAGAATGCAATTTTGGTACCTGCACAGCTGTGCCGCTTGAGCAGTATGCCAGAAATAGAGTCTGCCAGCTGAGCTGTTGATAGCTATGAGCCACGGCTGGAACTCTGCTCACCAGATGACCCAGTAGCCTACACACAAACAGAGCCTCTGGCACTCTGTCCAAACACAACCAGCTGTTGAACTATTGCAGCTAGGGAACTAGACTAACCAAATACCTAAAATGTTAAGTGCATGCCTACACATAGCTTCACTAACTGCCATTTCCCCCTCTTCCATCCAGAGACAACAACTGAGGTAGTGACAGTATCAATACCTACCCTGCCACCCTGTGCCTCTACTGACAGGACTATTCCAAGTACGTGCTCATTGTTTTATTGTTCAATAGAGAAATCTTTCACAACTAGAGAAAATGTTTCTCAAAATTTTACTGATTGCCCGTCCTGCAATGCAAATGTACCTGGCAAAAAATTTCACAGCCAAATCTTTTTTTGCTCAAAAGTTCACAAACCAGGAGATTCACGAAACCTTTCTCCCCAAAAGAGTTTCTCCTTATATAGTACACATTACCATCAATATATTCAGCAACTAAAATCTCTAATGGTAGACAGTCCATGTACCACAAGCTTCAAGTCTTTTGAAATTTCCAGCCTTCCAGCCCTAAGGCCAATGATAGATGGTGCATGCAATAGAAATTGGCTTTGTATCCCATGCGACTTTGTTGCACTGTCTATCACATTTGGGAAGTTGCATTTAACCCCTTTCTAACGCAATAAAGTTGCATCGTGTACAATCGCTGCTATGTCATTTGTTTTGCCTCCTTGCAGGTGACATCGTTGGAGTTCGCAGTGTGCGGTGTGGTCTCATAGAGTGGGAGCCTGCAACAGTAGCTGGATGCTCAGACGACGGAATAGCCTACAGAATCAGAGTCTTCACTGGTTCCAGTTTCACGTCTACTGGCAACGAGAGGGACGTTCTCCCCTCCGACACAAACTCACTTAGTTTCACGTTGGATCAAGTTCCACGTGGCCGACCCCTTAAAGCACTGGTGGGTACCACTGGCAATAGTTACTTTGAGGGGGGGCCCTGCTATTCAATTTATCCCAAACTGAGGGATTTGTATATAGCAGTATAATTATGTGCTAAATTTAGAAACTATTAATTTTTGCACTGTGCCCTGTTGTCTAGTTCTATTGAAATGATAAATTTATCCCTTATATGCTGCCACATTCCCTTTAATTGTCACAACTGGGGGATCTGTATCTTTTCGTCCAGAACATATAAAGACCTCTGTAGAGCATTATATTACTTTATCAAATGCACATGGTTTATCCTTAGTATTCTCTCTGTGTCACAGATAAAAGCAAGGAGAAGCAATGGTGTGTTCTCTGCAAATTGGTCAGAAGTCATGACTATTATAGGTAAGTATGCATGTACTTGAGTAACAATTAGCCACAGGGTAAATTAATCATCACAGCTTTAGATGTATTGCTAATCAATGCTGTTAATTCAGCTAATGACTTTCCTTCCTTCATCTCTCCTTTTCCTCCTTTAGAAGCGTCAGATAACTGCTAAGTGAAAATTCTTCGACTCACTCTTTATAATGAAACAGTCTCACTGATAATGACTGCACTAATTATCATAACCCCAGATCATCTGTTCTCTTAGACCAGTTTTTTATGTTTGTCTTATTTTCGTGTAATAGAAGCTATTAATCAGATGTTGTTTTGTCTTTAATATTCAACTGTAATAATCTAGTCAACTTCCAATGAACTGTATTCGTCTGCCAACCATGCACAGCTTAAAATATGAAATGTTCACCACTTAACCTAATGCAAACACTGCAGTTGAACCAATCCAGACACCAGGGACAGAATAATTAATGACTAGTGTATTAGTGATCGAGGTGTCCTTTTTTCGAGGGTTAAATCCATTAGTAGAAACTGTCTTTTGTCGCTGTGTATAATCCTTAGAGAGAGAGATATTCCTTGATGGCAGGCTGAAGCACTTGCATATATATGTATTTTGACTATGCAAAACACAGGAAAAAATAAACTAAACAATAGAACCTTGGACAATAATGCAATTATGTTAGTGTTTTAGTAATATTTAGCAGCCACAATTAATGCATAAATGTGTCCAGATCCTCCTCCATAAGTCCAAACAGTGTCTAGGCATACATGGATGAGTGGAGGAGACGATGTGGTAGTTGAGGTGTGCCCACACCCCCAGATCCACACACACAGCACTTCTTGCGAAAGTGATGCAAGACGACGACAACAATGTAGACCAGCGGAATCAAATTCACAACGATAGAAGTCAAATAGTAATCTCGCATGGGTTTGGTCTAGAATTGAAGCCAGGGATTCACGAGCACTGACAGCAAAAGATAGAGCTAACCAGAGGAGAAATGCAGTGAATACAGGGTTAAAGATCTCGTACTCTTCCCTGTATGGTTGGATTAGTAGCACGCTCATTGCAAGTGTAACGAAAAGCATTGATTGCAAGACATAACAAATCTCCATTTGAGAGTTGGCGTAGGTTATATAAGCACCAATTTGCAGGAGGACAAAGAATCCTGAAAACCACCTGGTGTCCCGAGCCCCATTGCTCCCGTCTTTGTAGTAGTGATGAAACGTACCGACAAATTCGTCCAGTATCGATCCTCTGAGGTAGAGTTTCTGCAGGAGCTTTTGGAAACAAGTGAACTGAAAGAAGACCAGAAGAGACGTCGGTAGAACTACAAACACAGTCAAGACTCCCACAGCCAATAGAAAGTAAGGCAAGTGCTCCTCCCCAAGCAGAGGTATGGATGGAACATAAAACAACCTCCAAAGAGTTTGTCCATCTGGTGTGTACATTCTGGTACCCACTATCAGACTGAACGACACACTAAACAGCTTGTTTGTAGAGAGGAAGAAGAATGTGGCAAAGGCATCGACGATGGAAGTCTTGATCCCCCAGTGCCGTCGAAACCTGGCAAAGAACGGGTGAAACGGTCTCCAGGCATAGAGAAATGGCCTGAAGCCGCAGTCGTGAAGTTGTACAACAATGTAAGCAACAGCCGTTAGGATCATAGGGTAAACTGCTATCACGTAGTCTAGAGTCAAGAGCTGAAGGGGGGAGACGTTGATGCACAACTCGTCTGTGACTCCGAAACGTAAAAAGTCTAGGTTCCAGATACCGTAGATGTTGGCTATGAATATAACAGGGACCTTCTCTAGAAGTGTCTGATGCTGCATGTAGATGCTAGACTGGACTATCCTGGTGGCTATGGAGCATGTGAGGATCTGAGCTGCCACCACAAACACTTGGACCTTGGGAGACAGAACGTTGATTCTGAGCACCAAGATGACGCCAATGAACAGAGTGAGTGGCCCGAGAGCTCGAGCTGCATAGAGACCCCAGTTACGTAACCCAGCATCACACTTCATGCATCTCATTGTGTACGAATAGGCCGGGATGGTGTAGCCTGTCTTACACTCTCCACAGAGCGTTCCTTTTCTGTTTAGTTCGCCGCAGTCAGTAGGAGCCTGGTGATACATGACATCAGTGCTAATGGCGGTTGCATTGAGACAGTTAAAGATGCAATTTCCCACCACAGACTCGACTAGACCTTCGGGAGTGACATGTTGGGTTAGACAGTTGCAGTCCAGTACTGAAAGTGCTCTGGTGTTGCTAGAATCGCAGTCCACTACTCCGCCATAGTCGAGACCACAATGACACTCCCCATCACGTCCCCGCACAAACCACATGTTGGATCTAGAGCACTCATCTCTCCAAGTTGAGTTTTCTCTTCTGCTCCCGTTTCCTTGCCCGTCTCCAAACTTTCCAAGTCTTTTGATTTGTATGCTGTCAGTTGCTTCCTCATAACAAAGGCTCTTACTAGGGGCTTGCAATACAATGACTAAGACCCATGCAACAAACAATGCTAGACTGTCTTTCATTGCGTGTCTTTGACTGACTAAGGAACGGTGTTATTTTCCATTGGGGCACTCTCTTATGCGTAAACAGTGAAACAGATATTCCAAGTGGGTTTCCTCAAAAATATACTTTCACATTGCACCATACTGGCTATATTATAGTCTTTTGGGTGAGTGACTGACTAATGCACATAGTGTTTCATAACATATCATGGTACAGCAAAACGCCTCAATGTTTATGATAAACTACTGCCTGTTGTGAGTGTGTGCAAGGGAATACAGTAATAAGTTTGAGAAACACGGCGTGTTGCTCTTGTGCAGTTAGTTGAAAGGAGGGCAATCCATCACGTACGAATCTTTAGTGAAACAAGCATAAAGAAGGTGAGAGAGAGGCCTGTATTGTAGCTTACCTGTCAGGAGCCCAGCATTCACCCACTGTGCCGAGTGAATTCCATCCTGCTTCCTCGCCTTCACCTGTATCCACAATAAAACACACCTGATGACACTTATCAGATAGTACATCATTCTATTAGCCCAACCCAGTGATGATTATCAGCAATTCAATGTGTCTAGATGCTGGTTAAAAAAAGCCTGGGGAAAGTGTGCAAACCGAATCCCCAACAAAGTTCAGTGGAACCCCTCCTCGCTAAGGACACCCTGAAATGAGGACATGTGCTATCCTGCAAGCGTTTTAATGCAATTTCTACTGGTGTCTGGATTAGGAGGTTCCACGGTACTATAATCTCACCATAACTTGCAGTGGTCGACCAACTGGAAGATCGCTCGAGGTGAACTTGATCCACGAGGTATCAACGCTCACCACCTTCCTGTGAGTCTCCTCGGCCCGCTTGAAACTGGTGCCATTGAAGAACCTGACCTTGTAGGTCAGCTTCTCCTTGCAACAACTGGCGTCTTCCGGCATATCCCACACTATCATTCCACAGTTCAACATGCGCACGTTGCGAATGTTGCCTGTCGTGTATGTAGGACAGAGTAAACAAAAGTGTGGGTAGATGTCAGGTAAGTGATACAAAAAAAAACGGTTGCACCTGGTTTTCTGTTTGGTCGGGCACAGTTTGCAGATCCAGAGAAGAAGGAGATGGTGGGGCAAGGAGGGCAGGCCGGGGGAGTAGGGTCGTCACAGATTGGACACGGAGGGGGAGGAGAGGGAGGTTCGCATTCCTCGCATTCCTCACAGCAACTGTCACACGGAGCGGGCTCAGGGCAGGCAGGAAGCCGTGTTGGCTCTGTGACAGAAGAATAATGTGTGGATGTTTGCTATTAGTTTCGGATTCCACTTACCCGGTGTAGGTATGGCTGGGCAGGTAGTCACAACAGTAGTTGTGGTAGCAGTTACGTGGTCAGTTTCAGTGGCTGTTTCGGTAACAGTAATAGAGACAACAACGGGCGATGGTTCGATCACTATGCTTGTGGTGGCTGTGGTCGTGACGGTATCGGTTGTGGTGGTGGTGATGTAATCGGTTTCGGTGGCGGTGGTAAAGACCGTTGTAGGAACGTGGACCACAACGGATGATGGTTCAGGTACAACAGTTGTGGTAGCTGTGGTCGTGACCGTTTCAGTCGTAGTAGCTGTATTGTGGATTGTTTCGGTTGTAGTGGCAGTGGCTGTTGTTGTAACAGTTGTTGGAACTTCGATCACGACTGGTGAGGGAGTGGGAGCAACGGCTGTGCTAACAACCGTTGAAGTGACCACAGAAGTTGTAGTGCTGGTGACTTCGTCTGTCACAGTTGCAGTGGTCGTGACTGTGGTAGGAACAGTGACTGTAACAGACGTTGGGATGGGTATTTGAGTAGTGACAGTGGCAGTCTCGGTGGAAACGACTGTTTCAGTTGACGTCACGTACACAGTACTTGGATCCGGGAGTCTTGTAGGAGAGGCGGGTATTGGGAGAGGGGATGGAGTTGGGTATGGAAATACCCAGGGGCATTCTGTGAGTGTAAATGGGAACCAGGTATCATGTTGTAGGTGAAGTTAACTTCTCACTCACCAGGCAGATCAACAGAAGCGTATGGACCAGGCCCAGCTTTGTTGATAGCAAAAATCTATGTAGTTTTACGACACTCGGTTTAATGAACATAAAACAGCAAAGTAAAGACTGCTGATCGTACCTGTACAGTAAGGTTTTGCTCGTAGAAAGAGGAAATTATGAAGAAGCATTTGTCTCCAGATACATGGAATACGCTTTCAGTTCCATTAGAATAGTTGAACACGAGTCCATAGAAAGGATCTCTCCATTTGTAACGGCTGGTTCTTCCCCACACAATCACCTCACAAAACGCCTCTATTTCTTCGACTGCAGTTGGAGCTGCACCAATAACACAAACAAAGGCAAATAAAGGTAATGTGCGTATGTATAAAGAGGCGATAGCCTGTGCAAAGTTTTCTTTTTTAGTACGTTTTCAAATTAATCGTACACTGACACATCGAGTAGAGGCTTTGTAAATTTTACCACATGCTCGACTATGTTACATCTCCATAATATCGTATGAACTAATGTGGTGTGTATAGAGTTAAACTATCTCACGAGCAACGTCAGTCTCCAGAGTAATGTCAATTATTCTCGTGAGAGCTCCACCCTCGTCTTGATCACTGACTCCATTGTGGGCCGACACCCTCACAAAGTACGTGGTAGCCGGTTGAAGACCAGTGATGGTGCACACAGTGTCTGTGAGGCACTCTTCATTTCGGGTGCAGTTTGCTTCAATCATTAGTCCTGGAATGACAGGGTCAGAGTGATGGACTTGGTAGTAGAGGTCACTGCGTCCTCCGTTTTCATATGGGGCCTCCCATCTGATCGTGATAGACGAGTCAGTGTATCCAATTGGCTCTAGATTAAGGGGCGCACTCGGTGACCCTGCAAGGGATGAAGGTATCCGAACATAAGTTGCAATTTCAACATCAGCTATAGATACCCCAGAAATAGGGATGGTTGGATAGTTGCTGTGGGATAACTACGGTTGGCTAACAAAAGTTGCTAGAACTATTTTCTGTTGCTCTATATATGGTAAGTCCATGGAGGTGTTGCTTCAAACTCCATGTTGAGTTTCAATTGTCCAGTCATTGCTCTGAGTATAGCCAAAACTTACAGGTACAACCGTAGGACACGCCTTCCTCTATCTGAGAGGACTGGACAGCGATTGTGTAATCCCTCATTGTTCCTGAAGTGGTTGGTAAGACAGTTGCAAGACGGAGCTCCTTCCAAATCCACCTCAGTGAATGCTGGACAGAGTATGCATTCGTCCTCTGGGTCAGAGTCACTCCTGTAGTACCCCACTGGACAGGCTGCGCATAGTAAGTAGGTGTAATATACAGGAGATGTGACAATTATGTACTATAATAATATCACTACAAAACCTTTGATGGCCTATCATAATGTCCTTCCCGTTAATGCTGATGAAATTCTTTCATAATTATAGTATGGCAGTGAGTTTTCGATATGCAAAGTTATAATACTTCAATATGCGCAATTTTAATATCTATGAGATTTTATATCAATTGGGTGATGTGCATTGGTCCAATACAGTATGCTTGCACCGTAGCCTGAGACCTAAGCCATGCCAAGGGGGTATTCCAATATTGCAGCATTTGTTTGTGCTACTTTGAACATTAGCAGTTTGCATACACAACTATGCCAGTGACGTAGCTTTGCTTACGGACACAGTAGTCGCCTTCAACTCCTCTGTGCCTATAGTAGCCAGGATAACATCTGCACCGGCCAGATCCACTCCAGTATCCAGTATCATAGCACAGTATGTCCATATCAGTGACTGGGTAGGAGTCGGGCATGCACTGCGCAGTAATGGTCATGTTTCCATTCACTGGAGCTGCAGTGTCAGGGAAGACGACAAGACCCTCTTGTTTCCTCGGGCACTGGTAGCGGTAGACCTGCATCTGAGCTACCTGAATACATGATGTGTTGTCTCGAACGGCCAAGTAGATCCCTTCGATGTTTGCAGGGATATCAATGTTTTCCACGAGGCGCTGAGTGACTGCTGAAGAGCCGGTTATAACCCTGATTGACTGGTAGTTGGTGTGGTCTGTGAACACTTCTCTTTGTTGTGGGCCGTCTGTCTCAAACTTGAGCAGTTGGAATTTGGGGTTGCAGTTGTAGCGAATGCGGCAACTGGAGAGGGTGTAGAGAATGTCCACGATGACTCGTACAGTGTGGGTGGTGTTCGGGAGGTGCTGCCTTCGAGATGAACTGAGTGAACAGATAGTTGTCCTGCCAGCCACTGCGGTAGCCACATGACATCACCGACCACCTGCAAATTCCACCAGCATTGTGCTTGAACTGCAGGGGAAACAGTGCATTAAACTTCACTAACACATTATTACACCTCATGCTATTGCTTATGTGGAGCTCTGCTTTTGAATAGAAAATCGTGGATTGTAGATTGTAGCTAAGTGACTCACGTATGTTGGGTTGAATGAGTCGTCGGGATCATTGTCATCCAAATCCATCTGGTCCCAGACTCCTTCAGGTCCCAGGAGTGCAGAGTAGTGTCGAGAGTTCATCAACATTATCGTGCTGGGAGGGTAGGGATCTAGTTGATCTGTACACCTCGAACTCTCGTCTCCTGGAGCCACTTGGGCATGGCCCAGTGCAGCAAACAAGAGCAGCAGAAGTGCTCCCTGGCATGCCTGTGGAGGAAATTGAAAGACAGCTTTTCGTACACTGCAGATGCAAGAAACACCTAAATAATATTATACAATATAGCTACCTTCATTTTAGCCAAACCCAAAAGAGTTGCAAATGCTATACTTGCAAAGTCACTGCGAAACTAATAACTGGACAGGTGAAACAGAGCAAAACAACAGCCGCACTATAGTACTAGCTAGTGTGCGGTAGCAAAACTGCAGCAAAAGAAGTACAGTGTCCGAACTGAGACGCGCGTTTTTATGGTGCGGGACACTGCCGGAGATTTGCCTGCAGGCACGGTGTCAATCAGGGTATTATTTGTATACTGACATACATTAATCAAAGCTCACTCCCTTGCATAAAATCACTTTCAAGTCGACGTAGGACTAACTCACTCTCATGTTCCTATCACCGCACCCCACCCCCCACACGTGTTTACCCCAGAACTTTCTAGCTATAGCAGCTGACGTTCAACGATCACGCTAGAGTATAATTATTAGTCAAATGTAAGTCATTGCGCGTTCATAAAGTTGATACCATAGCGGGAAGTCTCGCTCGCAGCCAATGCCCATTGCGCTGAGGCATGCGCAAGCTACGCTGTTCGAGCGGGACGCAGCATGGTCTGATCCGACTTACTTGTCGCTGTAGATAGTTTTGTAGTGTGTGTATAAGCGTATATATGGACTACGCCATTAGCTAGCTAACTGTTCATTGAGCGCAAATACTGCGAGCGGCGTCAAAGTTTCCGCCAATGCGCAAAGCGCCTCCGCAAACTTAGGTTTATTAGCGCACGCGCACTCGCTTTCCGATCGCGCATGAGCATAAATAATAAGTAATAAGGCGTGGTTACGATCCTGCCCCGTCATTCCGCCTGCCATCGCCTAATCGCGTTTAGTGCTCCGCAGATTTTCTCGGCCCTCCCAAGTTCCTGTTCCCCAGTGATGACGGCCGTCGATTTACTGCTAGTAAGTGGCTACTTCCAGCGAACAGAGCGCTTTTGCGGTCGACTAGCTAGCGTACTGTGGGTAGTAAGTTGTCGTCGGGGCGGTTCCTTCAATGGTAATCATGTTACGATGTTACCTACGATGAACTGTAAATGTTATTGATGCTGGTACATGATAAAACTACCTGTGTCCCTAATAGCTAAGTAGCTAAGCCTTCAAGCTATTTTACACTACAATTAGTCAACCTCAAAAGAGCTGAATAGAGGGCTAGCCATAGCATGAATACGAATCCGATACTCATAGTCCTATTATGGAGTAGGAGTCACTATGATTATAGCTGTCAGATTGCTAAGTCAACAGCCTTTGTTTAGATGCACAACTAAAGGTAAGCAACCCTTCCACCACTCAGCAGCTTTACCTTTAGGGAAGTCAGTTCTTTTATATATGTGAGTCATCACTGAAGTTATAGGTGTAGCTAAAGGTTTCTGTATGGATCTGTGCATGTGAATGTAATAGTCTCGCTGAGAAACTACTGATTTTCACTTCATTTCCAGGTATACGTGTTAGTAGGTATTGTTTGTGTGAGCCTCTGCTGGGCCCAGGCTCCAGGAGATGAGGATGCACGATGTACAACTGATCACTCAAACCCCCCACAATATCCCGACAATGTGAGGAATCTGATGGACAGTTACAGTTATGAGAACCTCTTACCTGGAAATGGAACTGGGAACTCTCCCATAGCTACTGCAGTCTGGAATGACTTCAGTTTTGATGGAAATGATGTCACTCCTGAAACACTGAACCCAACTTACGTGAGTTAGCTAAAAGAAAGTAAAGGTGTAAACATTATATATACTGCATGTTTCAGTGGCAGCAAGGAGCTGGAGGAATATGTCGATTTCAGACACGTGTTTGTGGATGGAGAAGAGAAGGAGCCACTCAGAATAACTGGCTCTTTACTCAACACATCAGTTCAGAGTTTGACTCTAACATTTACAACTATAATGTGACGATACATGTAGAGGCGATTTACTCATTGCAGAGTTGTAGAGAAAGGCAAGGTTGCAGACAAAGATTCAATCTTCTCCACTACATGACTAACTCACAACAGCTCCCCAGTACCAGTGAAAATGGATACATGAATACCCAAAATTATGAAAATTTTGCAGTACCGGAAGGACCTGTTTCCTCAGTGACTTACACCAATACCTACAATTTCACTCTGCCACCATCTTCCACTGGTTTCTACATAGCTGTCCAGGACATTGGGTCATGTATAGCTCTATCAAGACTGAGAGTCTATCACAACAACTGCAAGTCTCGTCAGGTTGGACTGGTCCTCTATCCTGATGCTCCTGCTCCAGTGTCTGGCTCAGCAAATATTGATATCAGTTGTGTTGAAAATGCAGTGGACTCTGGAAGTCCAGAAGTCACATGTGGCAGTAATGGAACATGGGGTTCTGAGACTCCTGTGTGTCAGTGTAGACTTGGATACGAGATAGCAGACGAGTGTATTGGTAAGTCACTATCCCATTTAGACATGTGGCTGTTTCAAACGAAGCTTCCACAGCATGTGACCTGGTCAGTATCGTTCCAGCAGAGACACTACCTGCCAGTCATGTCCTGCCAGCACTAAGACTGATAAAGAGGCTGCCCCTGAATGTGAGTGTTTGGATGGCTTCTTCAGAAACAACGCCAGCAATAACGATGCCACTGTGTGGGTTCGAGAATCCACGTAGCGAGACACCTGATTACAACTGCACAAGTAAGCAAAGCTCGACTCATTCTATATATTCTGTATTGTTTTGTATTGTCACCGAAAGTAAAAATGTTTTGGGTTGTGGGATTTGAACCACATACCGCAGTTTAATAATCATGGTGTTTTGCAGATTTGTCTCTGAAAAGCATAATGTTACACATAGTAAGTTTCGTCTCAAGAATGTGATACTCTGCTATAGTATGAAGGACCCATAAAAAACTATACAGAGGTGTTCTTATTAGTAATTAGCACAGGGTCTAAACAAGTGCCCTATATAGAGAGGTGTTTTTTGTTACGGAGTGTCTTTTTAAGGGGTTTCACTGTGGTTCTCATTACAGAGCCTCCGAGTGCTCCAGAGAATGTAAGTGTAGTGGCAATATCCCCACGAGAGATACTAGCTACCTGGTCACCCCCGACTGATGCATGGTGGAAGGTTTGATCTCTACTATGAAGTGAAAATCAGTGACCCACAGATCCTTGGAGAATTCACTCCCTCCATATACCTTACAAACATAACAACTAGGCACGTATTCCCTGAACTGACACCGTTCACTGCGTACTGTGTCAGAGTGACAGCCCACAACGGAGTCAGTGACCAGGACCCCGACAGAACTCATCTCCGGACTGTAGAGAGCTGCACGGAGACACCTGAAGATGGTGAGTTGATTTATCAGTCCTACAGACTTAAGACCAACATACACGATCCAACTTTTTCATGTTGTATGAGACGGAAGCCTCATGCAAACTTCAATGTATGGGTATGATGGGTTCATGTTGTTTCTCTTTTCATGTTGCATGGGGCATCATACCTAAGTTGCTTCCATGAGACATGAAATAGAGTTGTACTTTGTATGTTGGTCTTTACAAAGCATACAGTTGAATTAGTATCCACCAGTCGCCAACTTATTGTGTCCTATATTATACTAGGTGTGTTGTGCAGTTAACCATCCATAGAAAGGCCACATTGACACTAATTCAACAATTCCCCTGTGGATGTAGTTTCCATGTCCTCTGAATATTTTCCCAGTGAATCATGCTGTCCCCCCTCTGTTTACTCCCAGAGCCAGGTCCTGTGGAGACGGTAAAAGGTCACTGCTCGGTTCTGGTGTGGGACGAACCAAGTGCACCAAACGGAGTAATCACAAACTACTCGCTCCTCTTCCTCCTGAACACTGGGAATGACTCGGGCGTCGTTGTTACAACTGACTCGTCAGTGACTCACTTTGATATCAAGTCACGCAACCAGTTCCCACTGAGCCCTGCAGACGGTGGCAGTGCCTTTGTCAAGGTTCCGTTTGGGGGGAGAAGTTTTTTAATGCTATATTATACCAAAGACAGCAGGGTGTTTCATAGTCAGACATTGTACAGGTTACCTCAGTCATGCGAATCTTTAACACATGGAGCCAGCATGGGTAGAAATATAATATGACTGATCTCTTTCAGTTGTTTATCATAGCTCTATATAGGCTGGTAAGTTTTGACGGATCATGTGTACTGTTTGTGTAGGTTCGCGCCCAAAATGGTGCTGGACTAGGCCCGTACTCACAATCTGCCTACATTGGTAAGTGATACTCAGAGCGGTAGTAAATTCCTACTTCAGTAGTGGTAGTAATTAGAAGTGACATATATACTTTGCTATTTGAAACAGGATGTGAAGATCCTCCAGGGACCTGTACAAATGGTAGGAATACAAATTACACAAGGTGTTTTTGCTTCATTTCTCTTCCCCTTTTCAAACTCAGACACCAGTCCATTTCCCCCACCAACTGTGCCAGGTTAGACATACACAAAGCTCTCATCATATATACATATATAAAACTACGTAGCTGGCTATTATAGCTCAGTGATGTTTTCTTACAAAGTTCTGCGGAAACAGAAAGTGAAGCTTCGCATAATAGCTACGTATCTCTAACCTTGAACACACTATGACTGTTTAAATAAACAAACACCATTCGTGAAGGAGTTAATAGGCGTAAACATCTACCGTGGCCACATAATTATTTGTTTGTACACTTGCGAAATTGTAAGTGATTTATGGGGTGTGTCTGTCAGAGTTGGTGGTGAGTGTGGAGAGAGAGGGAGATGTGATATACTGGAGTAGACCATCTGGCAGAGTCTCCTACTATCTGGTCACCCTCACTGACGACGAGACTGGAGAGAAACTGGTCGAGGGGATGAGGACTAACGAACAGTTTCTAGTACTATCTAACGGATCATATGGGAAACTCTCTGTTGAGGTGTGCAGTATAATTATACCATCTTCATACTTGCAATTTGGGGTCATAATAGGCAACACACAATCATTAAGTAATATTGAACACCATGCTCACTGATCATTTAAATTCTATGGAAAGCAGACTGTATGTATGTATGTATATCAACCGTATAATAGTATATACGTAGGTTTAGTTAAGTTCGCTTTACAAAATTAATAGCAATGGTAAAGTGACTTGTTTCCCTTCCCCCAGATATGTACAGAGTTGGATGGAGTGAGAGGAAGCTGTACACAGCATGAGATCCTTGAAGGTAAGCCACGTGGTGCTTGACTTACACAGCACTGGTAGCTACACAGCACTGCTAGTGTTTCTGAAGCACAAAAATAAAACACACTCTCACAGCTTACACAGTCTTTGTGCTCAGTGTACGCAAACAGTTAACTTGTTCACGTGCAGTTCTATTTACTAACTCAACATTTGTTTATGAACAGCCTGTCGGGAGGTTAAACATTTTGTTAACACTTGCACTTACTGTGTGACTGTCTACGCATTTACAATCCTCACAGGCAGATACTATTATTGTTGCCATTTTCAGGCTACAGCTAGCACAAAGCGTTTGAATAATTATTTAGGATAACTCTCCTTTATAATGTGTGGCAGTAATGGGCACAAAGTAGCATGGATAGTGGTTCCCAACTTGACTGTTTTCTACACTAACTTTCAAAACACCTCTTTACCATGCAGAAGTCCTCCATGTATATAGCTTCTTCTGTGAAATATGTATGAACACTTTGTTACTGACCCCTTTAATTAATAAAGGCGGGTTCCTGGGCCACCTGCATAGCTTGAAGTAATATAATGCCTATTAGCTACTTCCCACTTCAGTTGCCATATTATCTTCACACATCTCTCTGAATCGTGCTAAAATGTGGGCCCTTCTCTGTCACCACGCCTCTTTATGGTAAACAAAGGGGTATAATTATCGTAAAAAGCACTTTGGTAGCATGAAACTATCATCCCTATACTATCTCCAGAAACAGGGAAGAGCTGTACAGAGGAGAGCAGTGGGGAGGTTTCCCAGGAGATGATAATTGCGCTGTGTGCAGGCTGTGGAGGTACGGCACTGCTGGTGGCGACCTGCTGCCTCATTGCTGCTGCACTCCACCACTGGAGGTTCAGGAGACAGTTTGGATCCCATAAAGAGGCTCTCACTTGGGAGGCCTACGAGCTGAAGACTTAATTAGTGCATGTGCGTGTGTGTAACCCCCCCCCCCCCCCGCGCGACAGCCGCGACATTCGTCATCATGCATTATCCGTGTATACCGCGCATGCGCATGACGCGATATTATGCGCATGCGCGTGTGTGAGCGGGATATTATACGCGGAGAAGAACGAGATGCAGCTCACCGTTACAGTAAGTGACTGTACTATAGATATCCATGTGTCTCTCCTATATAGCTTAGTGAATGCACTGCATGTGTGAATAATGAGCTGTAGCAGGGCAAGGCAAAAGCAAATAAGTCAACTAAGTCTGTCAACAGCAAACGGCTATACGTATTATGTAGCCAGCGAAATATCATGGCCCTTTGGTGCCTGGGCGGCAGCAATACTAATTCAAAATGCCATTTTCCCCTGGATAGGTGCCTTTCGAAAAATGGATATTTCCTGCACTACTATTCAGGGCCTCTCTCGGTTTCGTGGTATCTTTGTAGCCCTTACTGCATTCCGTGGGCAGAGTTTCCTTTTTGGAGGTTGTAGAGTAGTTTACACAAAAGATTCAGTAGGGCATGGACTAATGTGAACTATGCTGCTACCCTGTTTTCTGTGTACCCCCTAGCAACCTCCCAGATGTAACTACAATAGGAGTCAAAAACAGCTCCCCATCCGCGTTATTGTCCATTCAGCATACTTTATGGCTCAGAGGTATATACTTGGAGGATGTGATTACAAAACCCCAATGTCAGCCTAGATGTTGTTGCTACACCAGAAAGTGTCAGAGCGAGAACAAAGATCTAGTCACCTATACATCATTGTATAATAGATACACGTGATTTTAGCCAAGAAGGTGTACACAATCATACTTTCATCTAACTTCGCCCTTTGCTTAGATTTTTCTTTTACTCTTTGTGAGCCTGTGCTGGGCCCAGGCTCCGGGAGATGGGGATGCACAATGTACAACTGATCACTCAAACCCCCCACAATATCCCGACACTGTGAGGAATCTGATGGACAGTTACAGTTATGAGAACCTCTTACCTGGAAATGGAACTGGGGACGTTCCCATAACTACTGCAGTCTGGAATGACTTCAGTTTTGATGGAAATGATGTCACTCCTGAAACACTGAGACCAACTTATGTGAGTTAGCTATATACAAAAAATAAAGGAGGAAAGAAGGGGCTTTAGCTGGTGTTTCAGGCGGTATTCCATTTCTCTTTCGCTCACAAATTGTACAATGCTGTGCACATATTATAGAGAGACCATAACTTGCATTTCGATGCAGGCTGTAATGAGTGTCCAGAGCAGATGATGACAACGGAGCTTCTCCGCTATCCAAAGACTACAGTTGGTGAAGGAGGAGAATGTGTCAATGTGACTGCAGCCTGTGTGGAGAACGCAGTACCACTCAGCTCCAGTCTGGAGGTGACATGCTGCTCTGGGGGTGTCTGGCGGGTTAATAAGGAGCTTCGGTGCAAATGTATTGACAACTACAAACCCACTGATGCTGGGACTTGCATAGGTAAGTCACTTGTTTTTCCTTTTCTACCTAGTAGAGTAAATAAAAATATCGATTCAAGAAAAATTGATTAAAATATTTTTACTGATCTGCAGATGCTGCAAAGTGCCCTACCTGTCCTGGTAAGTGAGTATAGATTAAATGTGGAGCTTTACACAAGTCTTTTTAGCATATACACGTATTCCTGCTCTGAGTTTTACATCATGTATGTATGGTGAGCTATCAACTTACAGAGAATATTACTGCCAGCGTCACTGAAGACTGCACTGACCTTATCCTGACCTGGTCGCCAGTTGATGGTGCTCGGCAGTACTCTGTGCGAATGCATGAGAATGGTGTATACATTATCAACACGACAGTCAACAACAACTTGTACAAAGCCAGTCTAATCGACAGCAAGATAAAGGATGAAACCCTAACTCTTGAGGTGTGACACCTATTGTTACAACTACAGAGATAGATATATAAAATATTTGGTGTTTTTTAGATTGCTGCATTGCTTGGTAGTTCCAATGAAGGTACTCAAAATAACCATGCTTCTATCAGCATAGACACTAAAGGTTTGTTCTAATGGAGGCCTTGTTCTTCAAAATTGTAAGTTTTTTGCAGCTCTGTGTGCAGCACAGCAGCAAGGGCAACAGGAAGACCAACAGCAGTTCACAACAACTCAATTCAGTATCGGGCTAGCCATGACTTTTTTGGTCACGGGGCCCTCTGTGTTTTTCCTTACCTGCGTCATCTGTCTCATGGTCGGATCCTATAGGAAGAAGAAGTACGGCAGCAAGTTCTCAACGACCAATGCTACCTACACCATGGAGGAGAAGAAACTGTATGACTGAAAGACTAATTTCGTGGTGTTATTTAGCCTATAGCTAAAAATGTACTTTTTTTTACCTTACTGATGTTATTGTTACTTTTATGCTTTTTTGTTGTAATCTAGACTTAGCGGAAATCAACGAGTACGCAGCGGCGCCTACGCAGCCGAGAGGGGAATACCCGCGCCCACGATATTATTTCCGGATTGGTAACGTTTCCGTCTACAAGGTCATTCACTACTCGGACACTGAAGCGCTTCATTTCCTGGAAAATTAGCAAAGACTGCGGAGCTAACCGCGTACAAAAGAGCCGCAAGCTGAAGCACGCTATATTTGGATCATCTCTTGGCGGCAATGGTCACGACGACAAACCTGGCCAGGGTGAGTGTCGAAACTTTTTCTATAGCTACGTATCCTAAACTATCTCTTGCTGCGTAGCTACATACATCTATTTACTAGCTAGAGCATTACCAATGTTATCCATCCAGGTATGCCTGGTATTCTCTCTTGCTTCACTTCTGCTGCCCTGCTCAGGAGCAGACGCTCCCCACGAGAATTGCATTAATCTCCCTGACAACGCCAGGGCTGAGTTTGAGACTCAGCTCATGGACAGCTACACCCATGAGGTTCTTCTACCAGAGAGCCCTTCCACTACCGGTGCTGCAGTCTGGAGCGAATTCAGTTTCGATGGGAACGATGATCTGATGAATGATATCCCTTTCGTGAGTTTAGGCTAGAGGGGGTAGTGTGTGGAAAATTTATGTCCTGCTAGCTTTTTATAACTAGAGTACTAAAATTCGCATAAACGTGGCAATTTTTAACCTTGGCAACCCGAGAATATTATGCTAATAGCCTTCCCAGTTTGAATGTTGTTATCTTCCACCAGAGCATTGTTTTGTTCTACGATCATTCATCTCATAATGCCATCTGTAACATGGTGATTGGTGCATTCCATATACTATACAGTGGGAGCCGATAACAGGGACCTCAGAATGCAGGCGGCGTGTTCAGGTGTGTGGCTGGGATAGAGAAGGAGAAAGACAGGATAACTGGCTCTTTACTCAACACATCAGTTCAGATTTTGACTCCAACATTTACAACTATGATGTGACAATACATGTGGAGGCAACTTACTCATTGCAGAGTTGCAGAGAAAGGCTTGGCTGTAGACAAAGATTCAATCTTCTCCACTACATGACTAACTCACAACAGCTCCCCAGTACCAGTGGAAATGGATATATGAATACCCAAAATTATGAAAATTTCGCAGTATCAGAAGGACCTGTTTCCTCGGTGACGTACACCAATACCTACAATTTCACTCTGCCACCATCTTCCACTGGTTTCTACATAGCTGTCCAGGACATTGGGTCATGTATAGCTCTATCAAGACTGAGAGTCTATCGCAACAACTGCAAGTCTCGTCAGGTTGGACTGGTCCTCTATCCTGATGCTCCTGCTCCAGTGTCTGGCTCAACAAATATTGATATCAGTTGTGTTGAGAATGGAGTGGTCTCTGGAAGCTCAAGAGTCACATGTGGCAGTGATGGAACATGGGGTCCTGAGAATCCTGTGTGTCAGTGTAATTGTGGCTATGAGCAAAATATGGGGGCTACAAGGTGCAATGGTAAGGATATCTCTTTGAAAATATAATAATTTTTATGATACACTTATTTCTTTTCTTTTTTTAATAATAGCCTGTCCAGCTAATCAATGGTCAGATGGTACAATGTGCCTGCAGTGCCCTGCCAATACTAGGCCACCCCAAGAACATGATTGTTACTGTCCCTGTCAAGATGGCTACTTCAGGAACAACGTGAACAGAATGACTGCGCCAGGAGCACAGCCCTTCCTTCTTCCAGCCAATGAACGACCTCGTGCACCATGTACCAGTAAGTACAGAACATGTCATACTCGCTTATTATCATGTTTCATAACGTTTTGCTACATTATTCCCTCTGTACAGAACCTCCCAGTGCTCCAGGCAGCCTTTCACTGAGTCCCCAACAGAGCAGTATAACTGTCAGATGGTCAGCACCAGCAGACCTTGGTGGGAGGACAGATCTCTACTATCAGGTGGAAATCAGTGACCCAGACAACCTGGGGTCGTTCACTGGGACAGTATTCCTCAGTGGAAGTACCACCAGTAGGACAATCTCTGGCCTAAGACCACACACTCAGTACTGTGTCAGAGTGACAGCCCACAATGGAGTCAGTGACCAGGACCCTGATGGAGAACACCTCAGGACTGTAGAGGAGTGTACTAGAACATTAGAAGCTCGTAAGTAACATTTCTAGACCAACATTTATGGGTATGAAGTGTTGTATAATACCTCATATTTCCAATACACACACATTCACATAGCTATTCCCTCCCGTTTTCAACCCTAATTTCTGTTTCTTCTCAAGGTCCAGGAGTGGTGAGTGGAGTTCAGGGGGCGTATCCCTATGTGGTGTGGAACCCACCAGAGGAGCCAAATGGAGTCATCACGGGCTACAGACTGGTGTTCAGTAGGTCAGGGACCTCCACTACGAGGACTGTCACCACCACTAATGATCAGACCTTCTACATCATCCAATCATCTGATGTCCCCTGGACGTCCGGAGAGTTCAATGTAACAGTAAGTCTTTCCATATTCTAAGATTCATTCAATACCACACGCTGCTCCTTGAGTCCTTGCATTGTGCTGCTACATTGGTGCAGCCAACGTACATGGTGCAACTTTGTTGTTGCATGAGACAAAACCATCAATGTATGGTACGATAGGTCTATGCAAAAATACTTCATGAGACTTCTGTTGTCTCACACACCGCCACATATATAATATATATATATTGACCTTTAGAGCCCTGCCTATAGAAAGGTAGCTCGCCTTACTTTATCATCCTTTTTGCCGGTGTCATGCACTTATTGGTACATTTGCAGGTTGCAGCTGGGAACAGTGTCGGTTTCGGAACTCAGTCGTCACCTTTCACGCTGACAATTGGTGGTTCTACATGCCGTAAGTACACAAAACCTTTATGCATTCAAGATATAGTTTGTTTTTTACTTCCAGCAACACCTCCGCTACCCCTAGGTATGTGCTATATTTTACCAAAACCAAAGGGTTGAAGTTTGCTTTGGTCTGTTTTTATAGTGTGCCCAGCACAAAGTGTGGGTCTAGTGCGATATCCTGCCACACTTGCCTCTACAAGTGGATCAGTGACTGTCACTACACAGTGTGCTGACAATGCTCATGTCAGGAATGGCTTTAGTCTGAGTGTCAGGTGTAGCTCTAGTGGTAGCTGGACTGGTACAACTCCTCAGTGTGAATGTGATACTGGATATCGTGCAGTCACTGTTAGTGGGAGGCAGATTTGTCAAAGTAAGCATTTTAGTAGCTACCATCTTTCAAATGACTTACTCTGTTTTCTACAGGTGTTAATACATGCCCAGCTAGAAATGTTGGTCTAGTTCGCTATCCTACTACACTAGCTCCAGCCAGTGGATCAGTGACTGTCACTACACAGTGTGCTGACAATGCTCACGTCAGAACTGGCTTTAGTCTGAGTGTCAGGTGTAGCTCTAGTGGTAGCTGGTCTGGTACAACTCCCCAGTGTGAATGTGATACTGGATATCGTGCAGTCACTGTTAGTGGGAGGCAGATTTGTCAAACTGAAAGTATGCATTTTACTTCCATTGGTTGGCTTTCTTCCTGCTCTTAACACTTTTGGTTTTTCAGGGTTAATGTGTCCAGATTTGCAGAATCCTGCAGACGGCTCTGTTACTTATGATGGCTTAGATGCTGGTTCACGGGCAGTGTACACGTGCTCCCAAGGATTCAGACTAGCTGGATGCGACAGTGTCAGAACCTGTGGGAGTGATCGGGGCATGGAGTGGACAACCACTTCTCTGCAATAGCGGTTTGTCACTTGTTTAGCGCTGTCCTTATACTTTGAATGGTAGATACATTGGTCTCTAGGTAACGGCTAGCTAATATATGTTGCAGACTCAGACAGGAAACCATGAGCCCTGCAAGGGCGAATGCTTCCTGTCTGGGCACTGCAAGAGATTTGTTGGATATCCCTAGGGAGAATGACAAGTATGAACCCTGCTTGCACATGCAGGATTGTATAGGCCGATAAATTTCCCAGTACCTAGCTTCATACATGTCGGTTGCCTATGGATATCCAACAAATACTCATAAAGTTTTGGTACTTGGATTTGCTTGCTAAAAAACTTAGTTTTAATAGTTACTGTCACATGACCACTCACACAGAGGTATGTACCGTTGAACTGGTGGGTGACATTGTAGTGGATGGGACTTCAGCTACATTTGTGTTCCGTGACGTGGGCTCTGGCATTACTGGATACACCTGCAAACTCGATGGAACAGTCCTACCAAACTGTATGCCACTCAATATAGCTATAGCACAGACAACTGTTTCCACACGTACGTATCTCTCTCACACAGGTTCCAGTCCTCTGACTGGTCTAAGTCCTGGTGCCCATCGCCTGAGAGTAATTCCTAAAGGATGTCAGACCAATATAGGAGCTACCTTCCGCTTTCAAGTTTGACGTAATTATTGACTCTAGGCATAGAGCTCCAAACATGTGAATTCTGATAAAAAACTTGAGTTTGTCATTGTGTCGTTAGTTTAGTTAGCACTGTGCTGTTAGTTTTAGTTATAATGTATATATATAATGTAGTTATCGAAATCATTTCCTAAGCGTGGCAAGGTATATACTGCCAGCAAGTGGGTGACTCTTACTTGTTTTTCATTCTGAGTTGTGGGTAAGTAAGCACGAGTCACCTATAAGCAAGATAGCTATCAAAGTCATGCAACGTATAAGTGCCTCTGGAGGAGCTACAATAACAAAATCGCGTGTACACAGTGCACGCAAACATTTACTCTTAAGTCTTACAAAACTCTGAAATAGCATGCACCCTTTAGTACTCAGTACACCTTGTTTGTTTTTCACGTGTCAAGTTACTAGCCTTGGAAGCATTCACTAGGGCCGCCTACCTCTGGAACATGGTGGTGTATGTATACACTGAGTTTAGTAGCACATATTCTTACTACTTACTACAAATCAGTTTTCTCGTTACAAACCTGACTGTTTTCTTACATTTCACATCACTTCAGGTGCCCTGCTTATTCGTGGGCTCCTCTTGTCAATCTGCAACGTCAAACCCGATCCATCAACATTTTTTCTTTAAGCATTTAAGTGCACCTTATTTGGCAGAGTTTTCATTGGCGGTTTTAGATCTGTACTATTAACGCATGCGTAAGGAAATTGGGATGGAAAGTGTTACAAATACACACAGCTTTAAATGGACATGTTTTCAACTTTTCCTTCCTAGTGTTAGAATGCTGGGACGCCCAGATAAGGAGAATTCCTTTTCTGCCTAAAAACACTGCCTCATTCCCGGGATTTCTTGGTAGGCCTCTTGGGAAGAAGGTAAATATACATCGGATGAACCTTCTAGGATGTGTTTACTGCGTCTCCATATACTATTAGTAGCAAGAACTCTGTTCTCTGGATACTATCACCCAACCCCTGGAGCAGTGTTTTATCTGCGATGTTTATCTCCAATCTGGAGTGAGTTGAACTTCAGAGTAACACTGTGGAAAGGGCTCTGTCCCACTGCTTCCACTGTGTAGGAGGAATATTTTCGCATTCTGGTTTGTCCTTAGAATGAGGGCCTTTTGAGGGATATTTTGTATGCTTCACATATGCCCCTGAAAGCTGTTTCTGCTATGACAAGTTGGCTTGGGGTATCCTTATAGGCTAAATCATCCACAGTCCCCCTGACTATTAGTTTTTACTGGAGTTTGTTTGTCTTGCATTTAAAGTGAGTGAATGCCAGCAGGTTCTAAGACAGTCAGCATTGTGCCATTACATGTATACTTAGCTACTAGATGTACCCAACAGGAGTCTGTAATAGTAGCGATAGAAGTCTCCTTGTTTTGGTATACTTCCTGGCATTCGCAAGTGACAGCATTTCGCGCAGGGCCGCCGCTTGCAGCTCGCACTTGGTTCCTAGTCTATTAATCCAGGTTTCTGTTACTGTTGTTGGAAGTCCGATTCAAAAGCTATGTTGCGCTTGTTTGGGTTTGGGCCAACAAGCGGGGACGATGCTAATAGCCTTTTGTTGTAAGTAACGACTGGGGTAGCTGACAACGTACGTATTATAGCTGAATAATGCTACCTTGTATATACATCTATTTTCCGGCGACTGAGTGTAGCGATCAGTATTACGTGTGGTGTGGCCACGAATAAGAATACCTAGCTAGCATTGTTTTTTGTCTTGGGGAACGTATGTTAGCTAATGTTTGTTGCTGAGGCTGTGTATACGGAGGGGTTGCTGGATGTGTAGTTTAATAAGGTTAACGACAGCGCTTGCTTGCCCACTAGTCGCGCCACATCCACTCCTGGCCTTGCCAGCCTCATTCCACTGACGTTAGCTACAACTAATTGCCAATTAAAATTCAACAATTATGATATATATTGTATAATTTACTGTCAGTGTTCGATCGCTAAACTTCCATTGTCAGCACGATGAAAGATTGCGGTGGGTATGGATGTGTGGAACATTATCTCTGCCCCATGACATTCTTGACGTATCTGCAATTTTCATGCACTGTTGGTTTCCTGAAGCAATTGCCCTGCAAATCATTAATTAAAGACCATATTAGTTTGTCATTTGCATTGCCTTGACAGGCGAGCAAGCGAGCCTTCCTAGTCGTGTGAATGTCAGATTTCTCAATAACTATTTTATCCTCGTGCAATTATAATGTTGCATATGATTCTAATAAAACGGGCAAAAACACGGCTGTCTGAACTTTGTAGAGGAGAATGACAAGTCCTGATTGTGTGGGTTTGGTAGAAAAGCTATAGGTTTATTATGCGTAGATGTAGATGCATCTTCGCAGTTAACATATATATATACTCAAGAAACAGCTCTTGTATGGCATCTGTTTATTTGGACCTGGTAGCCTAGGCAGGCCACACTAAAAAATATGTCTCAATATGTAAGTCTCACTTGAGAAAGTTGCTAAACAATCAGACTGCCATTAGCTAGCTGCACATATTGTTAGGGAACCCTTTTGGGGCAACAATGTTATCTTAGTACCAAGGTGACTTGGTGAATAAACAAAGATGTAGCTACTACAACACTGTACAACACTCCTTAGAAGTTCAACATGTAATAGTTAATGTACGGAAGTCAGTGCTGTGCACGTAATAATGGTACGAGGGGCGTGGTCGAGATAGTCATACAGCACGAGGCGCAGTGAGCCCACTGTACAACACACTCCTTAGAAGTGCAATATAAAGACATCTTTCAAGCTAAGCCAAACAAATGTGTGGTCGCAGCAATATCCATAACATCCTGCTCTGAGACTTTTGCCATTAGGAAACTAGTAGGGGGAAAGTAGATACAACTAGCCGTGTGATAACTATAGATTACCTTTCCTTGTTTTCTTTGAGGCCAATGTACATCTCGACGTGTTTATGGTCAACAACTCAAAACGGATACACACACACGAACATAATCTGACACCTCAAAGACTTGGTGAGAGTCGAAGTACCATCTAAGGAATGGACAGCCTTGATTTCACCTTAGAGTAGCTCAGATGACGAATAGTAGAGCATAATTTCTGGGTTAGTATAATTATAGTGACTTACTCCTACACACTGTGAGTGGGCAAAAACTCATTAACTGCAATTTCCTTTCATAGGCATTCTTGCATGTTTTTCTGAGCCTGTGCTGGGCCCAGGCTCCAGGAGATGAGGATGCACGATGTACAACTGATCATTCAAATCCCCCACAATATCCTGACAATGAGACGAATCTGATGGACAGTTACAGTTATGAGAACCTCTTACCTGGAAATGGAACTGGGAACTCTCCCATAGCTACTGCAGTCTGGAATGACTTCAGTCTTGATGGAAATGATGTCACTCCTGAAACACTGAGCCCAACTTATGTGAGTTAGCTAAAAGAAAGTAAAGGTGTAAACATTATACTGCATGTTTCAGTGGCAGCAAGGAGCTGGAGGAATATGTCGATTTCAGACACGAGTTTGTGGATGGAGGCAGAATGGTGTCGTAGTTTCTCAGAATAACTGGCTCTTTACTCAACACATCAGTTCAGATTTTGACTCCAACATTTACAACTATGATGTGACAATACATGTAGAGGCAACTTACTCATTGCAGAGTTGTAGATTACGACAAGGTTGTATACAAAGTTTCAATCTTCTCCACTACATGACTAACTCACAACAGCTCCCCAGTACCAGTGGAAATGGATACATGAATACCCAAAATTATGAAAATTTTGCAGTACCAGAAGGACCTGTTTCCTCAGTGACATACACCAATACCTACAGTTTCACTCTGCCACCATCTTCCACTGGTTTCTACATAGCTGTCCAGGACATTGGGTCATGTATAGCTCTATCAAGACTGAGAGTCTATCGCAACAACTGCAAGTCTCGTCAGGTTGGACTGGTCCTCTATCCTGATGCTCCTGCTCCAGTGTCTGGCTCAGCAAATATTGATATCAGTTGTGTTGACAATGCAGTGGTCTCTGGAAGCTCAAGAGTCACATGTGGCAGTGATGGCACATGGGGTTCTCAAAGTCCTGTGTGTCAGTGTAGACTTGGATATGAGAAAAGACAGACGGAGTGTATTGGTAAGTCACTATCCTCAGTTTCATGAGGCTTGTTTGAACATAAAGCTTTCACACAGCTTGTGGAGCTGGTCAGTATCGTTCCAGTGAAGACACTACCTGCCAGCGATGTCCTGCCAATTGTGAAACTGATGAGGTGGCTGCCGACGAATGTGAGTGCTTGATTGACCACTTCAGAAACAACGAGAACAGAATAACTGCACCAGGAGCACAGCCCTTCCTCCTTCCAGCCAATGAACCACCAAGTGCATCATGTACACGTAAGTAACAGAATAGACCATACTCACATCATGTTTCAAATTTTTGCTATTTTCCCTCTGTGCAGAACCTCCCAGTGCTCCAGGCAGCCTTTCATTGAGTCCCCAACAGAGCAGTATAACTGCCAGTTGGTCAGCACCAGCAGACCTTGGTGGGAGGAGAGATCTCTACTATCAGGTGGAAATCAGTGACCCAGACAACCTGGGGTCGTATACTGGGACAGTATTCCTCAGTGGACGTACCACTAGAAGGACTATATCTGGCTTAAGACCACACACTCAGTACTGTGTCAGAGTGGCAGTCCACAATGGAGTCAGTGACCAGGACCCTGATGGAAAACACCTCAGGACTGTAGAGGAGTGTACTAAAACATCAGAAGCTCGTAAGTGTTAGTCTAGCACACCCTCTCTTTCTCCGCGCGTGGGCCTGAGAAAAAGGGTGCAAATTAGATGTCTTACATAACCAATACACACACATTCCTCCCATTGTAACCCCCTAATTTATGACTCTATTCTGGTTTTCTCAAGGTCCAGGAGTGGTGAGTGGAGTTCAGGGGGCGTTTCCCTATGTGGTGTGGAACCCACCAGAGGAACCAAATGGAGTCATCACGGGCTACAGACTGGTGTTCAGTAGGTCAGGGACCTCCACTACGAGGACTGTCACCACCACTAATGATCAGACCTTCTACATCATCCAATCATCTGATATCCCCTGGACCTCCGGAGAGTTCAGAGTAACAGTAAGTCTTCTGCTTTTCTACTGCTACCTTGCCACATCTACTGATGCTACCACAACAAAGTTTTGCCATGTATATTGGCCTTTAGCAGGTAGCTTGTCCTACCTATAAAGACCAGCATCATGCCCTTTCCATCCTTTTTCTTTGTGAGTGTCATGCGCTTATTGGTGTATTTGCAGGTTGCAGCTCGGAACAGTGTTGGTTTTGGGACTCAGTCTTCAACTTTTACGCTCACAATTAACGGCTGTAAGTACATCTATAATATGAAACTCCGCATTCAAGATGTATTTGTCTTTACTTCCAGCACTACCAACCAACTGCTCAGGTATGTGCTAATTATTTAACAGAAACTTATTTCAGAGTTGAAGTTTGTTTTTGTCTGTTTTTATAGTGTGCTCAGCACAAAGTGTGGGTCTAGTGCGATATCCTGCCACACTTGCTATATACTTTCTTTAACTAAAAGTAAATCACTTTTTTCTTACAG